TGTTGAATATTTGTTTCCCAATCATTTGCTTCTAAATCTTCATAGTCCTTTTTGTTTTAGTTTTTTTTTTTTTTTGTCTATGATACATATGTTTTTTTAGTTTGAACCGCTTTGTTGTTACTATTTTGTTTTTTTTGTATAATATTTATACATAATGCTTCGCATACAAATTTACATATATTTTTCGCATCTTTTATTTTCACTTAGTTTTGCTGTTTTTGTTAATTTGTAATATTTCTACAAAGTTTATTATGCAAACTTATTGAGTTACATTTTTGCAGTTGCAGGCAATTAACTACTCGCATTCTCAATTATATTTATTTTTTATTACATTTTATTTAGTAAGTTTGTTTCTTTTCATTTCGTATCCGAATTTTTTCAATTCCAAATTAAAATTATTGTTAAAAAAAAAACACATAGTTTACACCCCGTTAGTTTATACATATGTATTGATAATTCCTAATAACAGGCAAACAAAAAATATACGCAAGTAAAACGTAATATATTTAAAAAGCGTAAAATAAACGTTGTTGTACTTATGTAGAATACAAAAAAATTATACTGTGAAATTGTAAAAACATAAAATAACAAATATTGTAGTTATAATATCATTTTAATACTTTTTCAATGCGTTCTAAAACTAAAAGTGGTAAACAATTCAAAGAACAAGTTTTGGATTAGGGCGGTCCTTAAAAATATAAAAATATATATATGTATATGTATATTGGGTACACCCACTTATTTTATTCTATGCACCAAATAAGGACTTCCACGAAAATTTCAAAATTTCAAAACCAATTTTAGGGGTCGCTAGCAAGGATTAAATATGAAATTTGAAAAATTTGACATATGATTGAAAATAATTTCACAGTCATCACAAAAAGGATTCATCATGCAATATTAGGCTTCGACGGCTGTCATTTGTTTAAGTTTTCTCGGAATAAGTGCAGCATTTTCCAAGTTTAAAAAAAAAACTGGTTTACAAATAATCTTGAAAACTGCCAAGTAGCTCATAAGCTCAAAACGCATTTTTTTTTATTTTTCCTATGATAAGTTTTTATATAAAATTTTATTATTTTTAAACACTCGTAATTGTCTCTGAAAATTGTTTTAAATTTTTTGAAATATTCGTAAATATTTTTATTTAGTACGATATCGACATTTTAAGCACCACCCTGGTATAGATGTACATATGTGTGTTTTCAAGAACTGTGTTAAAATGCAAAGATTGTTTGCTTTTACTTTACAAATCGAAATTGGTCACGCAATAAGGTAAGGTAAGGTTGATTGGAAACCCCGTTTGTTATTGTTATTCGATGGTATTCGGGCGAAATTATTGTGACATTTCGGTTGGAAAAGATAACGCCCAGATCGAAAGTCCTGCGTGAAGGTCTCGAAAAAAAAGGCATTTTCCAGATATGAATTTCTCTCTCCAATTGCCCAGAACTCACCACGACAAGATTCGCCCTATCCCCCTCTTTCGATTTCTCATTTTCATAAATATTTTTGATTAATACAAAAGTTGTTCGACCTGCAAAATTTTTATATAAATCCCAATGTGAAACTTTCCACTATAAGAAAGTAGAACACCTTTTGAGGAATGACCGAATTTCTTTTTTTTTTTAAGTTCTGAAAAAAGTAATTTTTTGTTTGGATGTAGTTGACCAATCTGAAATTTCTTATTACATTGGCGAAGCCTATTAAATCGTCTACCATCAACGTCACAGACTCTTTCAAAAAGGATTGCTAATTTAGGAGCTATTCATGGATTTATCGTCAACTTTACATATGTAACTTTAAACAATTTTCCAAATAAAATTTACTTTCGGTACAAACATCAAAATTAAGAAATGTGTTTACTTACGGTACTCTCTCTCAATTGCTGACAATGAAAAAAAGTAGCTGCCGTTAATCGTAAATTTGAACTGACTGACTTAACATTAACAATTATAAATACCAATCATTAAAGTTTCCCTTATGCTCGAGATTTTAAACGGGTACAAAAGAAAAAAAAAGCAAGGTTCTGAGATTGCTCTTTTATTTCAAAATAATTTCACTTCGCTCTAAGCTGAATGCTTCAAATATTTACGTTACATTTTAAGGAAAATGTGTATAAAGCTTTTAAAATCTTAAAGCTATATGTAAATATGCAAATTAAATTTGTTTAAAACTTACTAATAACAAATAAATTTTGTTCTTCGCTTTGCTTCGCAAAAGAAAAATGATTTAAAAATAATAAAATTAAATTCGGCATTTCTCATATATGTATACATAACTAAAAACAAAAACATTTCAACAAACATTTAGTGTTTCAAATGCATTTTTAATTACTAACAAATCAATAATACATGATTGTGCGTGTGTGTTTACTTATACATACATATGTTTACTCATATGTGCGTGTGTTTTTTTTTCGTACTCAGTTTGACTAGATTAAGCGAATGCCATTTTACATGCAACGTATTAAAGAAGTGAAAAATACTTGTATGTCTTAAAACAATAACAACAACATAAACAAAAATAAATAAAAAATAATATAAGCTTACTTTAAAGATGTAAAATAATTTCTACATAATTTCGTTGAATGCTGAAATCGGTCAACACATTAGTATATGTATGTATGTATGTACATACATATGTACATAGCAAAATATAAGCAAAGCAAATTATGTGTACAGTGAAATCTCGATATAACGAAGTAGAAGGAGTTTGACAAATGCTTTGTTATATCTATAGTTTCGTTATATTAATGGAACACCAAAACCTCAATACAACGAAAAATTCAAAACTTTTGAAAAAATTCTAACGTGATAAGTAAACTATAGTTTCGTTCAGAATTTAGACTTTTTCTAACGGGACTTTAACCGTCATTATATTCCGAACGTTTTCATGGTCCAAACCTTCTTCGTTATATCTATGGAGCATTTTCGTTTCGAAAATTTCGCAACGACGAGTTTAATAAACATTTTATTATATTGAGTTTTTCGTTCGTTATATCGAGGTTTCACTGTACTTTATATTCCATTTAAAGCTAGTTATTCAGTGAAAATTAAACGCTGCGCTACCGCGGTAGCAACACCAGCAGCGCTAAATGCGTGCTGAAAACTCTGATAAAGGCTCAGTTATGCACACTTAGCACTGGCATTGTCAGACGTGAGAGTTGTCTCACATAAGAAATCTTTTAAATGAGCTTTGCGCATAAACGGTTACCCAACAAACGACATGACATAGAAGTCAGAATTAGAGCGGGAGAATTAGATATGAGCTGTACGGAGTATATTTACGAAAGTATTTGACAAGCAATGCTTATCTGTGCAGTGCAAGGCAAAGTATGCATAACAGAGCCTTTTAACTTAGCTCAAACAAATAGCTGGCCTATGTTGAAGGACATTAATATGTTGGTGGATGGTCAAGATTTACAAAACCCACCGTGAAAAAACTTATATTTAGTTTTAACATTTTGATGATCATATTTACTTTTTTTTAATTAAACAAATCGTCAGTAAGGTTTCTTTTTTTTGTTTCAAATACCTTGTAGCCTTTCACGGCTATAAATATACTGTCAATTAACAGCAAAATTTATACAAAATAAATTTTTATAAATAAATTTAATGTATGAAATTTTTGTATGAATAAAGCCATAATTATAATAAAATTTAAATAGATTTTAAGACATTTCATAATTTTTTCACTTCTAAATATCTTAAAATCTACTCATATTTTACATATTTTCGCCATAAACTTAATAAGTTGAAATACAATATTTTTTTAAAGACATTTTTTTTACACTGGGTTATATGCATAAGAATAAACACATTTTTAATAAAAGAAAAATTAAAAAAAGTGAGATTACTTTATATACATATGTATGTGTTCGTATGGAATAGTAGCTTATGTCGGGAAGCTGGCTTTAGTATAATGCGGCATTCCCTTTATTCTTTAAATGACAAGAAATTTTTTGATGAGAGTTAATAAGAATATTGACTTGCTGGCATCGGAATAATTTCTGCAAAGTTCTTCAAATCTTCTTCAAAATCGAAAACCAAAGCCAGCCTTTCGACATAAGCCACTGTTCCATACGAGCACAGATATGTACTTTTGTTTGTAGCAACACAATTTTTAAAATAGCACGTTATACCGTTTGAGAGTAACAGTGTTAAAATTAGAAAACAATACAATCTTTTAACTTACTTAGAAAATAGCCTACAAGACACGCTTGGTGGAAAATCGTAGATATGCACAAGGAGCGCAAATACAGTTGCACATCCACATGAAACGTTATGATGGGCGCTACGTAGGTCGATTTAACATACACTGAGAAAGTGAGCTTAGTTCAACTCAACTAAATATATTTCACTCAACATATGAATTGGCTACGGCTACCAAATCTTTTTTTTTTTTTATTCTACTGAAGAAAATCTCCTCAGCAGTGAGGAGCGACAACACTTTGGTTTTGCTAAATCGCTGTTGAAAGTTGTATGAGCTTTGGAAAGTATTTAAATTCTAATTAATTATCAATTGAGCGCCTCTGGGAACTAAAGAAAATTAAATATACGTGTGCTTAATATTTGCTTGAAGATGCTCAATGTTTTAGAAAAAAATTACCAATGCTATTCCGCACATACACATCACAAAGTATGTTAAGATATTTCATAATGCAAAATATGTAAAGTATGACGTAGTACGAAAATTTAAAATTTAAAATTTCATAAGTTTATTATCCGTCGTGCACAATAACCAAAATTCCAATTGCATTGCTATAAATAGTTTGTTCGCTTTGTTAAAGTGGCTTTTCAATTAGACGTACAGTCAGAAAATAATAGAAAATTACGTAAAAAAAAAAAATAAATCGAAATGCTTAAACCTAAACAATGCATAGTAGTTAGAGTTTTTTTGGTTGCTTTTGATTTTTATTGTTAATTATCTTGCAGATTTTTCTTCTCTGCATGTTGCAGTTTCTTAAATATATTTTTTTTATTACTTTAAAACTTTCCTTTTTCATAACGGGTTAATAGATTTATTTCTTTTACCTAACGAATACTACGAGTGGAGTTTGTTTGCGTTAACAAGCATTTACGCATTTTTTGGGTTCCCTTTCTCATTTGGTGAAAATATGGACCAATTTTATAACGCGCGGGCAGCTGCACATAAGAACAGCATGAACAAAAAAAAACAAAATGCCACAAAATGTGCACACACATACACACACATACTCATGTAGGATGAAGCATAGAACTTAGACAAATCTCGGCAATCAAATTTAATTAAAAAAAATTAAAGAACAATTCAAATGCTGAAATGTATTTGTCCCATTAGGCGATTACCGTACGATGACTACGTCCGGCTTTCCTAAGTACACGCACGTATGACGTATGTATGTATGTGGGTATGCTCACACTTATTCCAAACTAACAAAATCATAATAAAGTAGTACAATTTGCTTTTTACTGCTGTCTTTGCAGGTGTATCGCTTTAAGTTTGAACCTTTTGTTTAGTTTTGCGTTTGTTTTTGCTCTCTCTTCCTTTTTTGAATAAAAGTTTATAAACCCCTTAGGCGCCTGCGCACACACACACACACACAAAACCACTTAAAATACTTTACGTTCGGGTCCGAATTTCGGATTGACAAATGAGAATCCGGCGAATTCGTCCTGATTAATACAGCGTATAACATCGTTGGGAACAGGTGTTAGTACTGGTTCCTCTTTTGTGAACTCTGTATCGAAATTGGTGGCATCACGTGGATTTTTCTGCATTACAAAGCACAATTGATTAATGATTATTTTAAAAGAAAAATATATTAACATAATTTTGTGGTTGAAAAAAAAAATGCTTACCATTTTTGGTCGGAACGGTGGCTTAATATTGCGCTTTTCCAGCTCATCCCAATCTAATTTACCGAAAAATGGATGTCTACGTATCTCGTTTTCATCACCGGAGCATCCCAAACGGGTTTCGGGATTTTTCGTTAGGAACCCTAAATGTTGGAGTACATTTTTTTCGTTCGTGTGTATCGTTAAGACATTTTATTATTTATTAATTCACAATACCTTTCAAAATGGATACTGCTTCTCTAGATAACCACACCGGATAGAGTACATCGTCATGCATAATCGAATCGAATAATTCATCCTCGTTGTCAGCCTCGAATGGCGGTTGTCCGGCCATCATTTCATACATTAGCACCCCTAACGCCCACCAATCGACAGAGGCACCATATTCTTGCTCTTTTAATATCTCAGGCGCGATATAATCGGGAGTGCCACAAAAGGTGGTAGTTAGAACACCATTTATAATGCCCTCCTAGAGTAGAAAAAAATATAAAAATTTAAATACAATTTTAGTCACAGCAAATACATATGTACATACAAATTAGTATAGGACCACCTTTCCTTAAAAAAAAGAAATTATACTAGAAATGGGTTAACGTGGTCCAAATAAAATATTCCTACGAATTGATAACCTCTTACTTTGTTTTTGAAGTTGATTAAAAATACCTTGCAATTTTTCTTTTAATAAACAAATTTTCAAAGGATTACACTCAAACTTAAAATGATACTACAAATTGTATGAGAGTATGAAACCTTTACACTGAGCTTATTTTTTGTACGTCAACTAAACACATTTCTCTCAACACATAATGATTATAATATGAGTAGGTATTACCTTGCACATGCCGAAATCAGCCAATTTGCAATGACCTTCCTGATCCAAAAGAATATTATCCAGCTTTAAATCACGATAAATAACTCCATTAGAGTGCAAAAATTGAAGTGCCAACGTTACTTCGGCGGCATAGAAAGCAGCGCGTGCGGCTTCAAAGCGACGTGCTTTTTGTATCTGAAACATCAAATCGCCGCCATTCACATACTCCATGACAAAGAATAGACGATCCTGAGAACAGAAAAAATATCAGTAATGTTGTAACGCTATATTCATATAACATACAGCTTTGACTCTTGGATATGTGAATTTTTTTTGTGTTTTTTTTTTTGTAATTAAGATTACTCATTACGCACGCACCTTAGTTTGAAAACAGGAATGTAATGCTGTCAAAAATGGGTGGTTGGCGGCCAAGGCCAGTATACGTTTTTCGGTCATTGTGCAATCGACATCGTCATCCTGTATGATGGCATCCTTTTTCAGCACTTTAATTGCGTAAATTTCCTCGGTGTCTTTCTTTTCGGCCAACATCACCTTGCCGAATGAGCCTTTGCCCAACACTTTGATGAAAGTAAAATCCGATAAGGAAGTTTTGCCTGGACGCGATTCAAAGTATTGACCCGCAAACGAACTGAGACCGGCCATAGTAGTCGAAGAGCTTGTGCCGCCCGAACGTTCCGACATCATCGAGCTGCGTGTGGAAGTGCTGCTCTCAGTACCCTGATCACTGCGATCGCTTAGGCTGTAGCTGTCGTCGCCACCCGGTTGATTTAAATACTGTATTGAAAATTCAACAAAAGGAGTTTAATTACTACATGCGTACATACACACATACACATATGGACGAAATGACATATCGCTAGCTTATTAGAGTTAAAAGTTGCTAATTCAACTTTTTATAAAAAAGTATATTTTCATACACAGGAAGCAAGAACAATCAAAAAACTGCATCGTTTCCTTAAAGATTGAACCTTCTCTTTTCTATTTAGTGATATGCCCATTCGTAAAGTTCAAAATAGTTACAGAAAAAATTATCAGTCCCATAGAGTACAAAAACTTTTAGTAAAAGTTGTGGAATTTGTGTTGTTTGGAGTTTTAGTCCTGTATTAATTTTTTGGCAAAATAAGTGCTTAAAGAAAATGAATTTGAAAGTTTTTAGTTTTCATCTATGAAATTTGAAAAAAAAAAACAATGGACTCATCAACTTTTCACTCTAAACTAGCGATAATTTGCCTGACGGTGACTAGCATTTTTTTTTTCTCTCTGAACTACTTACCTTTGAACGGCGCGGCTGTGCCTGTTTGTCCGGCGAAATACCCAGTGAACTGAGTATTTCGGCCATTTCTTTCGTATTGATACCGCACGTATTGGCCACATTCTTTTGGCAGCGTTTGTGCACATTCATGCTGCACTGTGTGCATTGGAGTCCCTGCTTGATCAGGCCATACAACAGTGAACCGCAGTGATCGCAGAACGTAAAACGTTTATAGTTATGCACGAAAAAGCGATGCGGCACATTGACATTGAAGCGCTGACCGGCCGGCGCCATTTCCATGGTATTTTGCTGTGAGCGCATACAGATACAAAAAAATAAAAATATATATATATAAATAATAATTAAATAAGTTACTATTTTGGATAGTATTCGAGTTATTTGAGTTTACCTCTTCACGCATGCCTGGACATTTGGTGACCACGGAACTATGGCATCTCTTATGTACAACACAGGTACACACTAGAATAGTGGAATGCAACAATAATGGTCAAATAATGATAACAGCAAGAATAAATGTTAGAAATTAGAGGAAATGTGAGGACAATACAGAATAAGTTATACATAGTATGTTTATAGTATTTATGTATGTAGTAAATATGTAAATACATTTATGATGATTTGATAGTGTGTTAAAGAAAACTTTACAACTTCTTACACATAGCACATACATAAATTTATATGTACAAACGAGCAAGCAAATGCATATATGTAAATATGTTCTTAAGTATATAAGTAAGTAATTAGATTCAATATTTAATATAGAAAACGCAGAATAATACTTATTCAATTAAAGCATAATGCGACTGCGTATTCAAAAATTTATTTCGTGCATGGTAAATATATGTATTTTGGACGTTGGATGCCTAATCGGCGTTTCACAGTACGAGTTAACTGTCGCTCTCGGCCTTTCTTTGTGTTTTCTTTTTGATTTGATAGATATACTTAAATTTTGGATTTTTTCTGTAAGACGTTTGAAAAAAATTTGTATTTAATTTGTGAGCGATTTGAACTTAGAAAAAACTAATGTCGAATTTTTACGAGGCATTGAAATTACCAAAATATGTACCTTTAAAAAAATGTTAAATGGGTATTGCCATTTTCTGGCATTTTTATTTTATTGGTGACTAGCAAATACCCGGCGTGCTTCACTGCGCCTTAAAGGTATTTTTGTGTTATTTGTTACCTATATTGTAATATATATTGTAACAGGTGGCAACCGTCCCCAAAAACATTTTCTGTAGTAAAGCTGCCTAAACCTCTTCAGTTTGATATCCATATTGCAATATTTAATTTATCTTATCAATTAAATTAAATTAAAATTGTCAAACATGTGGCAACCTCCATAAAAATATTTTTGTCTGTAAGTCTTCTTAAACCTCTTTCTATTGACAGCCACATTGCAATATTTACTTTATCTTATCAATTTACTTAAACCGGAATTTTCAAACCGGTGGCAACTGTCAAATTTTTGCTTTCTATATTTTAAGTTTGACCTCTAGCAATACATCGGTGAAAACTGCATTCAATTCCATCCATTAATTTTCGAGTGATGTACGACAAACAGACAGACATACAGACAGACAAAGATTCTAAAAATGGTTGATTTAGCTTCTGTTGGTCTAATAAAGACCCCTGCTCCAATTACATGTATGGATGCTGTACATTTTGAAAGAAATGCTCATAGCTAACAGACTTTAATGACTATTATCGTAAACTTGATCACACGGGTACTATTTAATGCCCAACTTGGTCATTCAATTGCCAATGGAAAACCAGCATAATTTTTTTGAAAAAATATTTTTCATATAATATTGAAAAAAAAAATAATTTAATTATCTCTATAATAAGCTTTACAATAGCAAAAAATAACACCAAAAATATGCAGCGTAATGCAAGAGTATTTATACGTGTTCATGTAGTAAAAAAAATTTGTAACAATTCAGTATAGGTAATTTGACGATTTTTTGTGGCAAAAATTAATTATTACCAACAAGATAAATATTAACTTAAATACGGTTGTTCGAGAAAATACTTAAAAAAAAAAAAACAGAATACAAAGTCGATTCCAATATTTCACACACAAATAACTTCTTTGGCCGCCTGTTTTTTACAAAAAAAAAAAAAAAATACAACTTTATGTGATTTAAAGTTTCCTCTATCATACCAAGAACGAAAAACGATTTTTTGCCGCCAAAACTGATCAAAGGCAATGGTGCTTTCCTGTAAAATTTGGTTTTTTTTGTAACATACGATAATTTTGCACAAAGAGGTCGATATGATTAAAGCAAATCAAAAAAAAACACGCATACATTCAGAAAAAAAAAGGAATTTATATATTTAAAGCCCAAATCAAGAAAGTACAATAAATTCGAAAACTCATTTTTTTGCGAGCCCGTAAATTCTATTTTCATGATATATTTTAAAATTTTAAGAACGAAAAGTGATGCAATTCCGAGTGATCACACCTGCGTGGTTATCTGGTTATGTGGTAATATTTTTTACTCAGTTTACAACAACAAAAATACACTAGCTTTTAACCAGATCACTTTATAATCAGGCAAATGTGAATACCCCAATTATAAAAGCATTTCATGGAATACAATTTAAAACGAATTCTAATACATACATATGTATGTATATAAAATATTTTTAAAAAAGTTACTTTATTAAATAAATAAGAAACACTAATATCTTATTACACAGAGAAAAAAGGCAGTTAAATTCCCACATTTCTCTCAACACAACATTTGGTAACTATAACACCATAAGACGGTCAATTTTACATACAAAAAAATTAATACATTCGCGGTTTTTAGTTTTTCTTTCTGATGTCAGAATTTTTCTTAAAAAGACTTTGGAATTTTAAAGATGTGATCAATTTAAAAAAAAAAAAAATATGTATTAAAAAAACTCAGTGCAATGGGTACACTGAGAAAAAAGTTTGACTAATTAAATGTTTTCCTCAACACAGGATTTGGTCATGGTTACATAATTTAGTTATAGTTTCCAAATATTATGTTGAGAGAAATACATTTGGATGACTTTTTTCTGAGTGTATCATACAAAAGAGAAAATTGTGTTGAATAAAAACGGTTTTAATTTTTGATGCATAGGACGAATAGGTACTGAAAAAGTCAAATTTTGTTCTTGAATAATCTTGAATTTTGTATACACACTTAACTTAAAAGATTAAATTACTTGTTTTTTTTTCGTTATATTATGGCCTTATAATCTGCCTTATTCTGAGTTTCGCCTGAAAATATAAATTCACCCGAAAATTTGTCATCGGCCCATAATAAAACCATGGAAACCAAAAGTGAAAAGTGAACCGGGTTCGGGGAAAATGAAACTCATGATAAGGCTGAATACGTATGTATGTATATATATACATATATATAAAATTGTTGAATTGAAAAATTAAAATGAAATCAAAAACGTGGGAAAAATAAATTCTCTACAAATGTGTACTTAAC